TGGAAGTTAATGACTTTCGTACTCTCCTTTTTAAATTCTTGCATCAACGCTCCTGTCCTCTACTTCATGAGTTCAGATTTCAAAAAATTCTTCAACCACTACTTCTGCGGCTTGTGCTGCAAGAAGAAGAGGCTGGGTTCGGTGAGAAGATGCAGCGAGATCGGAGCGGCCACGTCGTCATTTCGAACCAGTAACGAAACGAACCACGTTGTAACGGTTCTCTGAAGGATTAGTCAGCCCATCCACCTTACAAAGAAATAATTATCAGCAATTGCGACGTTATTCATCCCAATTATGCTGCATGAAATCATTTTTATTGCAATTTTCGTGGTGGAGATGATGATTATGAGAGCTTAATTATAACTTGCATGTTGAAGTGTTGACTTTCGGACCTTAAATACATAATTACGTGCATGATTGTGAAGTAATTCCAGTGAATCGAATAATAATTTTCAACGGCAAAACAAATAAATTAACTATCTCGAGCAATTATATTTTTTTACTCTCAACTGCAGATGCTGAATATTTATTCATCTGTCAGCCATAAGTGCTCGCGTCCCAGCCAGCTCAACTTGATTCACGATCTTGTTTACTTAATTCCACTTTTAATCGCCTACTTCGTCTCTATAAATTTATTTAGCGAATTTCAACAAAATAATGATGTATACCATTAAACATTAGACAATCCCATCCAACCGGCAGACCACAACGAACATCGCCAATTCAATAACTACTTTGTTTCACCTCAAGTCTCTAGGTAATGAGGGTGTCGATAATAATGGATGTGCATTTCGCATTTATATAAAAATCTGTCCATCATCCATTGTCATAGAAACATGTCAGTGTACATGAACTGTAATTAATCATATATAGACACACTCACAACACAATGTACATATACTTTCAACGTTAATCCTAGTTTTAATATTCCTGTATATATGTTTCTTATGTTTATAGTTTTAGAAAAAAAAGACAATGTGTTTTGATAGATGATGGCACGTCATGTTTGATGCTGTATATCATCTGTTGTGTTTTTGCATTGTTGTTGTTATTGTTTGTTGTTGTAGTTGTTGTTGTTGTTGTAGTTGTTGTAGTTGTTGTATTGTTGTTGTGTTGGTGGTACTAAATAATGTAGTTGCAGTTGTTTTTCATAATAATTCGCGCCTTGCATTCAAACCAACATAAACAAACTCATCAAATGTGTAATATAATGCAGTGTTATTGTTGTTGTTTGTTATTGTTTTTGTTGTTGTTGTTTTTGTTGTTGTTGTTGTTGTTGTTGTAAGTTCAAATCAACTGGAAAGTTTTGCATAGGAATAATGTAATTTTTACGCTAATTCAATACTGTAACCTTTTTTCTACACGGAATTTAACTGATTCATTTATCATCCATATGCGTTACTACAAAGTTAAACAGTTACACACACATACACACACCACACAACACACACATACACACACTTATGTATTACACAACTATATATATATATATATATATATATATATATATATATATTATACAATATACAATTATTATTATTTAATATATAACAATATTATTATATAACATAATATTATATAATATACATATTGTCGCCAGAATTATAAATGTAATAATAATATTATACGCAAATATATAATATAAATGCATTGTAATTTGTATTTTTTGATTATAAAAAAGATGTATTAATATACGTAGTAGAACTTATCGTATGTATATGTGTGATTTAGAGCTTAATGTATATGTGTATGTGTGAGTGTGTGTGTGTCGTATGTGTGAGTGTGTGTGTGTCTGTATGTTTCTGTGTGCATATGTATGTGTGGAAGTGTGTCTGTGTTGTACGTCTGTGTGTGTATGTGTGTGAGTGAGTGTGTGTAAAGTAAGCATAATGTTTATTCAATTGTAGTAATTATTTCCCATATATTTTTTTTCAGTGTGACATTTATTGATTTATGACTTTTTAATTAAGTATATTTACGTTTTGAATGTGCATTTAATTCGTTTCTGATGTGGTTGTGTGTGTGTGTGAGTGTGTGTGTGTGTGTGTGTGTGTGTGTGTGTGTGTGTGTGTGTGTGTGTGTGTGAGTGAGTGTCGTGGTATGAACGGGTTTTCGTATATAATACATCTTGATATGGACGATGTAAGACTTACTTGTAAATGATTGAAAACAAAGGTGTTACTGTTATAAAAGATGTGCTAAAAATTTATGGGGAGGAAAGAAATGCTTGTTATTATTATTATTATTTATTATATTTAATATTGTTATTATTGTTGTTAATATTTTTGTTGTTATTAATGTTGGTATTACAAATTTTTGAAGCCGTTTTTCAAATTTATTTTAAGTTTAATAAAGAAAATAAATGGAAGTTGATATTTTGTTGTAAGTATGCTGCATGTATGATGCATGTCGTGACTTCGTTTTGCAATGACGAAACTTAACTCTGATGATCCGACTGATTTTAGAGGCATACGTAAGCAAGGGCGGAGCTTTGGGAATGAGCCCGCCCACGATAAAAAATTTGGCTAGGTTTAAGGCGAAAATAAACGAAATCCTCCATGTAAGATTTAAAAATTGTGTCGGGAAACTATTTCAGCTCCTGGCAACAATGAATCTAAGTAAAATTGTGTATATGACCTCTGGTTTTAATAGGGAAATTTGTTAAAAATTGAGTGATAAGCAAAAAAGTCATCACAAAATTTTTTCAATACAAGTTAAGCCTATTCCTTAGAAGCAAATTTTTAGCTACGCTAATTTTTAGCTGATTGGTATAAACATTTAATTCTAAGTTGAACATTTTTCAAAAGTACGCTTTTGTCATTTGTAGTATATTTATTCTTGAATATTATGGAAGTTGTCATTAATTATTTAAAAAAAAGTCAATTATTATTTGTTGATTTAAACCTGAATAAAAACATTAAAATGAATTATAGAGCTTTGTAGCCACATACAAGCGATTAAAATGATATATATTTATCGCAAAGTCTGAAATAGAAAAAATTAGATTATAGATCTATAATATATCCTAAAATAAGTTCACACGAAAATTACAGTTAATTTTTTACGTAATTGAAATCCCGTTAAAAATTTGAAAAGTTAAAATTAAACAGCCAAGGATTTTAAAAAAAAATTGTGAACTGAAAGTATTAGAATTACATTGTACGTTTTACTTGTATTTATTTTGGATTACTTCACGTTTTAGATAAAAATAGGAATTATTTCAATGTTGGAATCATTTCATTGTTTAGATAATTTGAAAAACACATGCTTCAGATTAAAAATTGACACAAAATTGTGCAATAACAAAATTTTTTGGTCCCTTTAGTCAAAATTTTTGGATTCCCGTCAAACGTTTTGGCACCCCCGTCAAACGTTTTGGCACCCTCGTCAAACGTTTTGGCACCCCGTCATAATTTTCTAGATCCGCCCTTTACTTATACGTACATATAGAACAGTTGCTTTTGATTCAAGTGTTATATAGTGCGTGATACATACATACATGCCATGTTTCTTATTCATCCATTCATGCCAGTTTCTGATTGAAATTTTAACTGAATAAGAGATAAAATCAATAAATTATACATCGTGTAGACATCGTTCATGGAAAATGGTATCTGATAATACATTTTCTGGTAGCGAGCCACAATCCCACTTCATATCTCTTATTATTAATAATTATTCGTTTTTCATTTTTCAACGTGACAAATGCTCCACAATTTTTATTTCATTAATGACTTGTTATTATTTGAGTATTAATTACAAATATCAGAACTGAAGAAACATCACACACACACAAACACACACACACAAACACACACACAAACACCCACACGCACATACACACACACACACAAACACACGCACAAAACCTGTTAATGATGTTGTTTGCAAAATCTTACTAAAATATTACTAAAATGGCATGGAAGTTGTGTTAGTTGGTAGGTTGATCAGATCCTATTGGCAATTTATGGCCTTTTAATATCGTGCACAAGTGTATACGTAGGTTTTTATGATTACATATCATGTGTGTGTGTGTGTGTGTGTGTGTGTGTGTGTGTGTGTGTGTGTGTGTGTGTGTGTGTGTGTGTGTGTGTGGATGTGTGCATATACATGGATGTGTGCATATACATGGATGGGTGTATAGTATATGCATGGATGTGTGTATTGTATATTCATGGGTGTCTACTTACACATGCATTTGTGTTTTTATATTTGTATGAATGTACGTAGCATACGTGTGTGTGTGTGTGTAATCTTACATGTGCATTATAATTGTAAATACGTATGCGCGTGTGTAGACATGTTTGGACGTTTTCCTATGTTTGCACGTGAAAAAATGTACAATGTGCGATGTACAAGTGGTTCAAATGAGGATGTGTACCTGTACATTGAATATATGGCTGGTTGTGTAGATTATGGATCAATGTAGAGCACATGTAGTGTGAAATTTTTATTTATTTCCATTTTTTGTAGACTAATTAATGATCACATATAAATAAGAATTCAGTGAATAAACGATCTGCAGAAGATGTTAACGAAGACTGAATAGTACGAAAGAGCATTGTGCCATTATTTCAAATGGTTCTTCGCGTGCGTTCGTGCTTTAAAAGTTGCAGCTCATCACGATTAACAAGGTTCATAAGTGCATCTCGCTTGAATCTATTTAGCAGAAGTTTCACAGTTGTCTGGTTTGGAAATGTTTACATGGTTGGAACGTACAATATAGAAGTAGGGTGTTTATTACTTAGTTACATTCCAGTTGTTAATTGTTTCTCTTGCGAGGTGTTTTGAGATGTTTCAAAAATTATAATGGTGTTAGTGATAACGATGGAAGAGAAAGCTGACGAGTATGATTTGCAGGGTAGTTGAACGTCTCATAATTCAACATTTTAATGTTTTAAACATTTTTATTACTTTCCTATATTATAATAATATTTATATAACTTATTTTCACAACTTGCGGTGCATCTTAAAATGAATAGCAAACGATGGAGTTGGTGATATAGCAACAATATGGTTTTCTTTTTCGAAACTTAATAAAAGACCAAACAATAAAGCAATAATAAAGACGTCGCCATAATTTTCATTCGTTAATTTTCAAAATTTGAAGTCTTTTAAAGTTGGATGGATGTGACGGGCGAAGATGAAAACAGATGAAGATGCCAGATGATGAAAAAAAAAATGGAGTAACTTTTTCATTTTTATATATTCAAACTTGAATTTGAAATAGGCTTAAGTATTATTTAAAAAAAAACCTTCTGCTTAACAACGAAACAATTTTCAAACAATTATCATTATTATCAGTTGAATATGAGATAAGGAAGGACCAAACGTTACTTAACGAAAAGCTTTCCTCTTATCAAGCAACATCGGTGTAGCGATGATAATTAATTACACAACAATCGCCGCTATATTTTCATTGTAAATATAAACTGTGTGAACGTTACATTATGCCTGGTGTTTATGAATGTGCTGGAAAATGCAATGCAATCACATGGAAACATTTTTTTCTAGAAAATCAAGCTTGATGATAATTTTGAATGGAGTTGCGTTTGTCTGTCTGTTTGTTTTTTTTTGTCTGTATGTTTGGTTGTTTGTCTGCTGATTGTCTGTTTGTCTATTTGTCTGTCTGTCTGTCTGTCTGTCTGTCTGGCTGTCAGTCTTTCGTTTGATGATGCAGTTTATAGATGTAGTCTATAATGAAGAAAATGGTTCAATTACTAAAATTATTTTAATTGCAAACCAATCATTGGTAAAATAATAATTAACAATGAATACATAAATAAGACATAATACAAGAGGAACACTATTCGTCGTTAAAACGAAACATCTTGGGAAAAAAATTTCATCAGCCAATATCAGATTGCAGTGAATGACAAATGTAAATATTTAATGAAAACATGTTTGTGGTAGTAGTAGATTTCATCCAAATTAACATCTGCCACAAAATACGAGCTTTGCTAGAGGGTGAAAATCATACACAGGTGAACAATAAAAACAAGCAAAAACTATTTCATTATTTCAACAACTGTACTCTATATCTTGGTGGAATTTGAATTTTCTTTTGATGATTCAAGCCTCTCGACATCACAAGTTCAAAGTTCATTTTGTTTTTGTTTTATAGACATATATGTTATGTAAATAAGTTTATTCATTTATGGTTATACACTTCTCAAATGCATGCATAGTTCGGGATTAAAAGGCATCTGACATATATTTGAGACTGTTGAAAATGAATTTGCGAGGTTAGATGACTGGTTGGTTGGTTGGTGCAAAGTTCCATGTGTTCATACTTGAAGAAGGTACATAGCAATTTAATTGACTGATTGACTTTGCACGTGTTATCTTGTATGAAACTCACAAAAAATGCAAACACGTGAATCTCTTTTATGGATACACCACATCGCACACTCTGAACATGACTAATGGGCTAGCTTAGTTAAATATACTGTTTTCCGCTGAAGGTAATGAATTTGCTGGCGAGCAAACAAAACGTGACCGCTGTCGATATAGTTGGTTAGATCAAATAGAATGGAGAACAATCAAGAGGAGAGCAAACATTTGAAGGAATGCAATTAATCACTTGAGCCGCCAAAAAACTGCAATAAAAAAAATAAAAAATAATGCAATCAGGCTGTCTGACGTTACCTTGCATCTCAAGTTCCTCCGCAGACGCGAAATATCGTGAAAAATAAAAATTTAATTATTTCATAAAAGTTTGCTAGACTATTTTTACCAACATTTTATTGTGAAATCGTAATTAAAAACGTGTTTGTTCGTGAACCAAATAACGTAACCAAAAGCAATAAAGTTGAAGAATAAGCTTTTAATGCAATTCAGTAAAAAGTGTTTTTTGCCAATTCTTTAAATCTTTTGAATGACGGATGGTACACCGAGGTTCCTGAGGCACGATAAGAATGACGGAATTCAAAAAATGAATAATAATTTACGTACAGTAATAATTTTCTTTATTAAAAACTGTTTTTTTCATTTTTTATTTTCTTGTTTTGAATTTTCTAAATTGTATGTTTGGGTTTAAAAATGTTTTTTAATTTATTTAAATATCACAAGATAACTCTCACGTTTAATTTGTATTTTTAAACTGATTAAACTCAATTGAATATAACACGTACGTACATGAATTTAAAAAAAAAAATACCAGTCAACATTCCCACCAAACAACTTGCACTTACATTACAATCAAATTAATACATATGCGAAAACTCCACAGCCAACTTGAGTTCAAACAGACATCGTTCGAGTTTGAACCGGGACAAAGGACTACGCAATGACGCAAAGTATGACGCTTTTACTATTTGAGCTAACTCGCCAACCATGCAAACTTCAATTGAATGTTATTTAAAATTACAAAATTAGTTTTTGTAGACACAAACTTGCTTAAACTGATAAATAACGAACGTATAATGAATTATTAACGTGTTTACTTGTTCGTGTTAAATTTCAAAAAATTTCATTAATGATGCATGCGTGATTCAGTCGGCTGTTGTCCTGCGGCTCTGTTGTTGTCCATCTCGACATCATTCGTTCCGGTTGCAGCTTGTTTTTTGGAGTTGACCAACCAGCAGAAGATATAATGATTGAAATAATATTTGAAGTCTTAACAAAATAAGGATTTGATAAACAGATATTTGAATTCAAAACCAAAAATCCAATCAAAATTACCAGAAACGCCATCCACCCACATACTGTGATTTGAAAACATTTTATGTAAATACAAGGATGTAACAAGGTGTCCAGCAAATAAAGAATGAACAAATCAAAATGAGAATCAGCTTGGTAATTTTTTTCTAATTTTCTTCCTCGCTCTCTCTCATCACTGTTGAAGAATTGCTAACATTTAAATCATGGGTCCATGATTTACTCAGTAACGCGGTGCTGTGATGCCTAAAATCGAATTTGTTTGACGCCTCGGTAGCTGATAATGTTCAGTCAAAGTATTTCCATGTCCAGCAAATCATTTGTTCACTTTTACTATTTGTTGTTGAATGTATACAATATTCATCTCAAATAGGAGTTATTATCACGATACAGAGAGATTTGCTCGTCGAAAATTATTTAGTTGTTTAAATAAATGACATCGAATGAAAAAATTTTTTTTGTAAAATTGTTATGTATTGAAAATAAACTCGAAAATTAAAGTCTGCTTTTATAATGTTGCAAAAATGCCAGCTCGATGACCGTGTAACAGATTTTTTACAGTCACGTAACAAAATGATGAATGAATTATGATTGATATTTTTGAATTTTTCGTCAGTTGGTGTTGCATGTTGGAGAATTTTTAATACCTAGTGGAACAAATTTCAAAATTAAAAATTGAAAGTTTTTTAAAACATAAATTTAAAAAATGCACAGCGTGTTTATTTCTCAACCTTTAAGGACTTGTTTTACACTGGTAGGAGTGACTGTAGTTGAAAGTAACACACACGCACCCGATATTCTACAACTTTCGTTCCCTTCATTAAATAGATTCCAACGTTACTTTAAAATTTTATCTTATTTTAAGTTGAAGATATTTTTAAAAATATTAGTTTTAAATAAGATTTTAATTATCTATAACTGCTACTTATTTATATTAATTTCACTAAGCTGCATGATTGTATCTTATTGGATAATTAAACTGTTTTCAAAAAATTCGTTACACAACATTTGTTTTGAAATTAAACCATTTTGTTTTAGTTGCCTGTTAATTTATTAAAATTGTTATTAACTTAAAAAAAAACAAATTCCTATTCAACTTGAAAATGGCGGATGTTTTACTTGAAAAACTTTACGAAGTAGCGAGCGAGGCTGCTGTCACGAACACCGCACCAGCTGACGAGGGCCAGAGAAACATAGAACCATGCGAGAAGGAGACCAAAAAGTTGGGACAAGTGGAAAAGAATTCAGAGTCGATTGGAAACTTTCCGAAACAACCTTTAACTTCAATTAGAATGTTGACCTTTGAAGCTCTCAAGGCCATTGAATTAGCCACAAATGTGGAGGTTGTTTTGAGTTTTCAACATTACCGTGAATATTGTTTTTTCAGGAATGAAATGAGCGTGTGATATTGTAAAAGCTCTTTAAAGTAAATCTTCACATATTCACATGTTTGCTCAATTATTGATAGAACCCTCTGCTGAAGAAAGCAAAGTCCAACTTGACAGATCTTATCGCAAAATCTCTGGCGAATAACAACTCTAAGGTTGTCGTTAATAAACTTTGTCACTAGCATGTAATACATACTTTGTAACAATTTTATATCAACAGAATTTTTAATATTACATATCTGGAGACGACAATAAATTGTATAAAAAACTAAACAACTGTTGAAATGTTGCGTTTCAAAGGACTGCCAATCAGGAGACGCGCCGAACAGCCAGGCACCAAACATGAACGTGAACATCGTGAACAAGGACCGCTACAAAACAGAGCTCTGTAGAAAATTCATGGAGAACAGTTCATGCCCCTACAGCAAGAAGTGCCAGTTTGCTCATGGATACCACGAACTGAAACCTGTCACTAGGCACCCCAGGTTCTTTCCTTCTTCGCTTCCTAATGGAAACTTTGAATTATGTTGATGTTGATAATTCGAAAATGTTTACAATACCTAAATTAATTACCTCAGTTAAAAGTTTTTTTCGTAATTTCATTCAGGTACAGGACAGAGTTGTGCAGAGAGTACTTCAACCATGGACTCTGCACGTATGGAACCAGATGCAACTTCATTCATCAACTTCCTGGAGAAGAAGACAAAAAGGAAACCAAAGATTTAAATTCTGTTGGCAAAGCTGACGATGACGCTAATGACGACAACCTTCTTGGGGGAATTTCCAATGTTGAAGGTTGCAACGAGCGCCCATACACTCCGAGCAATGATTCAGGTCAGCGCATTAAAATATTCCAACTACTCGGTCTTACAGCCCATTTTGAAAAATTGTAATCAGATTTATTTTAAAATTCGGCAATGATATTTTATCAGTTTTTAAAATTCTTCACGTTTTGCAAGGGAGCAGAACTTAATAATTACCTACGTTATTAAAAAATTGTTTCAAAATTATTTTCAAAGATTTAAATTTTGTTTTGAAACAAGAATAAACACTTGACCAATCAATGAAACACATGCATTCACGCTCAAACAGGTCTTTCCTTCTCGCTGGACACACCAGCGACCTCTGGAAGGTATTCTCCCATCGAATCAACGAGACTTTCTGAGAGGTCTGAATCTCCGAGTGAGCTGCTGGTCATCCACGAGGTTCTGCAAGAAGATGAAAGAGATGGAGATGTTGTTCAGGCTTAAGAGTCGAGCTCTGCAGGGTCCCATATTTCGAAGCATCTTTAGGCTGTGTGGGAGATTTTACATTTGCTGGAGGTCCGCTCAGCTTTTTTACTCATCTTTCCTAGTAATTGTTTGTCATCCCTGTTATTGTTAGCTTCTTGAGTTTTAACATTTTGTAACTTGATTTTAACGTCCACGCGAATATATTATTTTAAAAGTGGTTTTAATATTTTGTACCAAGTGACTCTAACCAACAACTGCATCATTCATTATCGTTGCCATTCACAAGTATATTGCTGTCGTGAACTTAATACCCAACGAGTGTTGTTAACTTTTATATATATAGTGGTTTTTATCCAATGCGTTTTGTTGATGTTTCCATTATGTTTTTATGTTACATTCTGTATATACAAAATTATAAATTAATCAATGTTATACAATTTACATTTTTGTATATTATACATTTCATTGTATATATTCTTTATTTAGTGAAAACTTGTTTTTAATATTCATGCCTAAATATTTTTTGGGTTATTTTATTTTAAAAATTAATTATCATTATTGCTTATTTATTTTATCTATTTACTTATTTATTTGTTTATTTATTTATGCAACTAACTTATGTCAATGTTTTTAAACTTTATATTGTATAGAAATAAATATTATTTTCATGGCTTTATTTGCAACCGAAAATAAACATAATCAATAAATTTTATGATCATCAAAACTCACATATATACACAAGAGTGTGTGTGTGTGAGAGTGTGTGTGTGTGAGAGAGTGTGTGTGTGTGTGTGTATGTGTGTGTGGTGTAGTACCAAGAAACAGCTCTTGGTTAACAAAAATTAAAAATTTAAATCCAAGAATGCAAAAGTTCGTTTACTATGTGGGTATGTAAGCATGGAAAGACGTAATTATGACGTGATGGAGTGGGATCGAAAAATGGAATAAAATTTTGTTATTATATTACAATAAATTTCCGTGATGTTCTTATCGTAACTAACTTGTTTGCCTAATGTTAACTCAGTTTCTGTCTAATTGTACTATTTCAATGTTACCCATTTATAGCTAATTAACGTGCGTTCTAGTTAGTAAGACGTAAAGAGATAGAAGAAAACATACGATGGTGACGAACTTTGAACGAATACGCACTTTGATATCATCGGACAAAGTCGTTGTTAACAATTCTTTATATAGAATTTTTCGCCACTTTAATTTTTCCAAAACGTTTTTATCTTCAGGCCGTTATATTTGTTGAATTTTTAAAAATAAATCAAACTTTCCTTTCCAAGTCTGAGTCGTGAGGCAAACAATGGATGTCGTGCAACAGGTTGCTCATCTACCGCAACCGTCCATCGACGATGATTTGAAGTTGGAAACAGCAAACGATAGAAAGACAACTTGGAATGATATTCAAGTCATCAACGTCCAGAAGTGGTTGAATGTCAACAGAGACAAGTTCCTGCCTCCTGTCGCCAACCATTTCATGTTAGTCAGGATCTCTCGACAATATTAATAACAACAAATGCTTAATTTAACGACCAAGGTTTTTATAGATTCTAACCAAACTAATTTTGTAAAAAAAAAACTTAGAAAAACGTTTTTTCATTGTAAAGATGTTTGTTAAGATCTTGATAGATTCTATGGATTACAGAATTTAATAAATTTTAAAAACACTCACTGGCTTGAAATGTTATAAACATTCACACAGGTTTTTTTCTATTTCAAAAATTTAGCTACATCAGTCTCATACCATTAATAACACAAAAACAGTTTTAAAAATATTTAAAATTTTCAAACTAACATTATTTTAAACAAAAAAAAATCTCAAAAACATTTCAAGCGTCAATCAGCAAATCATTCGTTAGTTTAAAAAAAATTTTGACTGAAGGCACGATGATGGACAGCTGACGGTGATGTTCGTTGGAGGTCCCAATGACAGAACTGACTACCACATCCAGTGTGGCGAGGAGGTGTGTGTGTGTGTGTGTGTGTGTGTTTAGTTTAATTTAATTTAATTTAATTTCGACGATTAATTTATTATTCACAATTTAAAATATTTTACAGTTTTTCTACCAGCTTCGAGGTCAGGCGTTATTGAAGTTGATGGTGAGAGGTCAACCTCGAGATATCTTCTTGAGGGAAGGAGATGTACGTATGTTGAGATGCCATTCTATTTTCAGTTGAATTCTCGTTTACTCACATTCAAAACCGCAGTTTTCAAATTGGCGCCGATCAACTGTGATGAAAATTTTATCCTAGAATTGATGTCAACAGATTTTCCTGCTACCCAAAAGAATACCACACTCACCTCAGCGATTTGTAGACACGATGGGACTTGTACTCGAGAGGAAGCGAGCCGCACGTGAAATCGATGTTTTGAGGTCCATTCAATTTATTCACATATTATTCGTTCTGTACAGGCTTGTTTTGTTTTATTTTGTGAGACGCCATCATCATCTAACAGTTGCTCTATGCAGTTTAAAATCATTCCAGGTTTTACACGATGAAAAGCGGTCGACCTGAAATTTTGTACCAGGACTCATTCCACTGGGACAACGCAAAAACAGACATGGCTGCGTGCCTGGAAAGGCAGGTGTTTTTCTCAATTTATTAAAATAATTGCTTATAAAAGAAGGAACATCGTGCGAATGTCTAATTGCAGTTTATAAAATTTAACATAAAAGGTACAGCAAATCTGAACAGTGTAAGACAGGAAATATTGTACCAGGTTAAGTAAACTTTTTTTAAGCATTAAAGAAATAATTTTAAAAGTGTTAACAAACACGAGAAAATGTATTATTTCATGTATTAAATTAAGTAATGCCTTGTTTTGGATGTACACGGATACAAGTCTGTATGATTATTTTGTGTGTTCGTAACAAGTTGATATAAGCAACTAAAAAAATTGAAATTTAAAAAATATAATCGACGACTCACTGAACTTTCCACTCAGGTTTGATCTTTGACACCCCACTGACCGTGAACGTGGTGTCGGATGTCACCGAACCATTCAGCCTCTTCCAGTGGATATATTCACGTGAAGACGAGATCAACGCCAATGGAAAATTAGAAATCTTTGATACCAATCTTTATAAATATGAGGTGAATGGCTATAAAACTGAAATAATTTTTCTCTTTTGATCACCATTTTGTTATCCTCAATTTTTCAGATTCTTGTTTTCGGGCAAGGAAAACAGGAGCATGGCAGCGAGGAGGCGCAAATCTGGTTGTATCAATTAGTTAGTGTAGTATTATATTAAATTATATATAATATATAATAATATTTCATTTGGTGCTTCAACGTTTATGAAATGTTAATTTTACATTTTCAGGTTGGAAGTAGCAAAATAATAACAGATGAACAAATGTTTAAACTCAGCAAGCAGGATAGTTTGTTGCTGCCTATCGATAGAAAGTTAGTTCTCAAGTAATTTTTGTGATTTTAGTAATAATTGGACATGTAATTTCATGCTATTTAAAATTTTTCAAAAGCGTATACAGAATAATTTTCAAAAATATTAAAATTTTTCTGCAAAGGAAAAAGGGGAAAAATAAAAAAAAAAATCAACTTATATGATAGTTGATTTAGAATAAAAAAATCACAGATTTAATTTCAACAAAAATTATTTGGTTTATTCAAAAAGGTTTCAAGTGGTTCAACCTCAAGGAAGTTACTTGCTATCTTGTTCCCAACGACCTTGACAAAGCGGGAATCAATTTAAATCCTAATCAAACTTTTTTCATTTCTCTAATTTTTAGTCTAAATTGTGTTTATAGATTTTTCTCTTAAATTAATAAAATTTTTAAACATTTTAAATCTTCTTGAAGAAAAATTTGAATATAACAAAAAAATCACATGCAATGTGTGTGATGCCGTCGCTTAGCACGTTTTCATGTACGCTGTTTTTGTGTCGTTGATTTCTCTGGACTTTGGAAAAGTGTCCTAATTAGACCTTTCAGACTTAACCTTAACGTTGAATTGAACTCTTTAAAATCTCAAAAATGGGGCAAAACTTTTTTGGTGGTATAACCTCTATATAATATTCAAAATATAAATATAAAACTATATATATGTATATATATAATAAATGTATATACTCAATGTAGGTGTATAACATACATTATCAAATAAATGCGGACATGATGACAATCAGGTAAACTGACAAGACTATGACGATGATAATATCATTACATTCAATTTAGTTGTTAAAAAGACTTTGGTATAAAGAAAATCTAATACACAGATTTAATTAACTTTAAACTAAATTTAAATTTTTACTTTATTAGCCGGATTTTCTCTTTCTTTCTCTCTCTCTCTCTCTCTCTCTTTCTCTCTCTCTCTCTCTCTCTCTCTCTATATATATATATATATATATATATATATATATATATATATATATAATCATTATATATTAACCGTTCATTCGCACGGAAATGTTTCAAACGTTTCCAAGTTCACTTTCGTTCGTCGTTCGTCTGTTCTGTTTGTTGTTGCTAATCTAGTCTCTTGTAGTTCGTCGGAGACTTTATGCGGTTGTGTGCTGATGTGTGTGGCCGATTTGTGATAATTAGGAAGATAATTCGTCGCCACCTTGAACTCTTCTAGTCACAAAGCAGCCAGCCAGCCACCCATCCTGATTTTTCTCATCAACAAATTGAAAAATAGGTAAAAATTAAATTGTAGTTAATTAAATATATATTATATAATAAATTGAGTTAATAAATGTTATTAAAATTGAAATAGAAGAGATTAATTAACTGATTAACAGAACTAAAAAAAACTGTTCATTTTTTTTAAATTTCTTTAAAATTTTTTTTAAATTTGAAAAGATCTGTTATTAAAATTAAGTTTGATTAATTAAGTATTAAGTGGCTTGTAAGCTGGTAGTGTAATTCGAAATGAAAATAATAAATATACAAAAATTTTTATTTCACTTTTCAACATTAGGATAAATAACCTATAAGTTAGTAGAAGTCATGTTTTCCCCATGTCAAGTTTCTGGATTTTGTTAGTCTGTTTTTATATTTTTATAAATTTTATAAGTTAATTAATAAAATTAAATAAATTAAATATGGCATATTTACATTATTTAGTTAACTTATTAAATTCTATTTAATATATTATATAAACATCTTTTTGTATTTTCACTATTTTATGATAATTAAGTTATTTATTTATTAAAATTTATGAAATAATTCACAACCCAGATTATGCTCCAGCAACAAAAGGCCTGTTGATGTTCAACGTTCTCATGTTTGCTTGTTTCTCTGCGTTTAAAGAACTGAGGCAGTGGATAACCTTCTCCAATGAGGATATCATATCAAATTACAGAGTCAGTTAGTCACCGGCTTATAATTCCATTGCTAGAAGTACTTCTTACAATATTTTGATATTTTTTAATATAAATACTAAATGAGGTTTATTGAATGGCAAAATGGGATTATGATAAATATGGCAACAGCCTACCACTTGCTATGTTTGTTATGTGCAAATTTACATACTGATTTTTTATTTAAATCAAACAATGTTTGTATTTACATATAATATACCTACCTGGTTTTTAAATTTTTTGCATAGAATTATTACTTTGTAATAATAAATATTAATGTTTTTTCTTACATTACGCCCGACATGCAGTTAGACAAGTACCTCGTGTCTAGATGTGTTTTTCTTGATGCAAAGGACATGCTGTGTGCGTGTGTTCTTCTCTACCACTTCAGAATCTTTGAGAGGAGGTTTGGGTCTGCTAAGTTTATGGTTGGTTTTGTTTTATCTGGTATTTAATAGTGAAATGTTTAATAAATAATTTAGCAGTTGAGTTGATTTTCATATTTTTCTCTTGGTGTGTTTTTTTTCCTGCATTTCGGCATTTTACCAGGTAATTTTTTTCCTGATGCACTTTTACTGTTTATTAAAATGTTGAAATTATTTCAGAAATTAATTAAAAATAATTATTAGACTGGTGTGATTCATTATTCAATTTTAAAAAACGTCCGTACAAATTCGAAAATATATCAGTTAAAAAAATTAATACAATAGTGTTTAATGGAAAATTGATTAGAAAGTATTTAACATATAAAAAAAAGATAAAATAACAACAAATTGTGATGTACCATCAAATACCCATGCAATCAAACAATCATTCAAAGTGACTATGTACCAAATCATTCAACACAACAAAACAATTATCTGTCAATTCACTCTTTTCTTTCTTTTCTAGGTTTTTCTTTATTTCCACTTCTATCACGGCTTTTGAACGTCTGCTTCGATCTCCTCCTCTCACAGTCTTCTGTTTTTTCTGAGGAGCTCGAAGAAGTGCTTGGCTCATCCAGAGCCTTAATCAATTAATGAGGAATGAGGAGATGAATGTCTATTTCTGACTGACAATGCTCAGAGATAGATTTTTCAAGCCAAAGTGTATGATGCTGTATTATACAGAACAACATGGTTGTATAATTTCTGCCACATTAACTTGACAGTTAATGAGGAGATGACTTGAAATGACTAGTTCTGCCTAGTTGCCAACCGTCCCGAATTAGGCGGGATAGTCCAAATTTTGCCCTCAATGTCCCGCGTCCCACTTTGGTGTCCGCGGGACGTGTGTTTGTCTCGCTTTTTGCTCAACTGACAAAACTGAGGACCAGTAGTGAAATATCGAAATAGGCATTTAATGATAAATTTAAAAATTTGAAGCACACGAAAAACATACAAAGCGCCGATTTCTTTGAAGTTTCTAACACAGTTATATCAATAAAAACCATTTTTTTTACCATCATTGCGATTTTAGTTATGGTTGTGATTCTAACAAAACATCAAAGAAAACTTTGGTATGCCGAAATTTTTAATTAGTTTAATTTCGATGATGATTATGATTTTAACAAAAACAAAGAACAATGCCAAACGATTATTTATTAAATTTAACTATTTTGCGTTATCGATGATGATTATGATTGTAAAAAAAACACTACAACTATATATATATATATTTTTTTTTTTTTTTGGTAACAGACTGTTGCTAACGCAACATTTTAAAAATTCAACACTACTTTCAACATTGTTCAACTTTTTTACATTTCTTTTTATTTTATTAATTTCAGAGAAATTAGACATTTTATTGTTTTTTTTTAAATTTTTATTAAATAAATTTGCAAATAGCTATTTCGAGTTATAGATAACTAAACGCGATTTTTAAAATTTTAAAAATTGCGTTTTATATTGGT